ATTTGTAGAACTTGTCAACGATACGTTCGATAACAACAAACCGGTAGGCTTATTTGATTGGTTCGAATCGCCGCAATCGATAGAAGTGACAGGACTTGCCGTATACCTAGACGCAATAGTATGTAGTCTGTGCCTAGACGCTTGTCAACTGTTGCTATAAAATACCTTCGAGAATAAGTGGGCAATCTCCCGGATCCGGACAAAACTCATAAAAGAGTATGACATGTCCGTACTAATTTTTCTTCGACAATGCCATTTTACGGAAAAACAGGCCAGAAGAAATACTTTTAAACTAGATTTTTAAATAAATGATATACAGACTTACTTATTTTAAATGGTTCTGTTAAATTCATTATTTCAGTCATTATTTTTTCATGCAGAATACGCTAAGTCTTTAACACTGTTTTTTTGTTTAAAACTTTCCAGAGTTGAATTAGACAAATTCGATCAAATCATCACGTTTCCACCTCGGGAATCTATTCCAGGTATTTTACACCCTGTAGATTTGAATCGTAGATCATTAAGGTGCAAAATCGGAATACCAATTCTGTCAACGTGACAACGGTGTATTTGTTAACCGACCAATTGTTGAACTGTATTCAGTCAGTTTAGTCAAATTTGAAGGTATGGTATGTTTTGATTCAGAATTAACAATAAAAACCCAATTTCGACTTGTTCCGAATGTCATTTTGTTACGGAAGTTTGTACGTGCAGGTTGTACCTTTAGTGGGTGACTGTTTCTGTTTTGAAGTTTACCTATCTGTTTTTCGACCTTACCGTCGCCAGTCTGTTGAAACGTGTTTGAACTTGTTGCATACCTTCTCAGTATTTGGTCACCTATTGGTACTGGGTGGTTGGTTGCTTCCCAGTTTCGTTCAAGATGGGCCGAGCGTTAAAGAGAATTGTCGATCAGCAAATGAAATTTGATAGCAAATTGGTGGGAACCGTAAAAAAACACAGACATTTATTTGATAAATCTCATAAATTATTTGCTGATCCGGAAACTTGGACTAAAACGTGGATTAGTATTGCGAACGAACTAGGAGTAACAGGTAAGTGCGACTTCACTTAGTAGTATTTTCACGTGGATTCTTCGGTTTTTCTTTTATAACTACATACTAGATATTTAAATATTATCACTTTTTCGCTTGTCCCTATAATGTTTGTCCGGCAGTCTCAATTTGATCAATTGTATTGCGTTGACCATTTACATGATTGGGTGATGACTCATTAGATTTTGGGAAAAAAGTAGAAATTTGAAAATTCGGTCTAATTTTCGTAGATTTTTGAAGACAATGGACATTTAAACAAATTTGCTATTTATTTTTTATCGCCAAAACATCGCAGTTTTGTGAAAAACGTGATTGGTCTTTGAGTAGTGGCTTGGAAATTGAAAACAATGATCCAATACCTTGTATAAAATAACACTTCACAGTACGTTTACGATCAAAGCTATTGACTAGTCGACTTAAATATGACTAGACCACTTTTAAGAAAATGTAACAGAACTTCCAAAATCGATGTTAACAGGTACCTGTTAACATCGATAACTGTTTTTAACTAATTCTTTTTAAATTATTTTAGATTTCTTTTTTCCTTTCTTTTTCTTTTCTACTTTAGATTCCATATCCTTCTCTCTCATCTTTACTTAATTGTAATTGGTTTGTTAATTAGAGATACATATTTTTAAAAGTTAATAGAATTAATTGAATCACCATCGATGAATGACTCGAATTATTTTATTCGATTCTTCTTATCATCACTAAACTATTTATTGATTTGATTTTAACCTGATTGTGGTGGCAGTAATTAACTTAACGTATCGCGACTATGACGAACCTGTCCCGTATTGTATAATTTAGTCCTGAAAAAAGCAAAAACTTGTTTCAACAGCTGAAAAATTGATTCAGAAGTTTTTTTAATGAATACCTTTGTCATTCGCGACCCATCACTTGAGTCGTATAAAAACACAATAATGCACCTAAAGTATCAAAAACTTTAACATTGAAACTGGCGAATTTTTCAGGTTCTTCGGCCGTCATAAAATAGTAATAATAATACCATCCTAACGTTTTGAAAGCTGGGATACGAAGTTCCTTAAAATAGGTCAAAGTTGCTCATTTTGATACTTAACAAAATCGTGTTTTAAAACTGGAAAAATTCCGATTACTTCCAGAAATATTTGAAATAAACCGAAATTTGATCAAATTCTTTTTTTCTGGGTTTATTTGGAGATATTTTTTAAAACAATTGTCACATTATTAAGCACCTTTTTACTCTACAAGATTATACCTTTTTTCGTTCTTATATCTGTTTTGGAAAATTAATTGTTGTACAACGGACAAGATTCGTCATTCAATCAATCACACAAACTTAAAATAATAATGAAAACTTAAAATTATTGACCCTAAAACGCAGACGGGAAACAATTTGCATTATTATTCAGTCACTTAAGGTATTTCTTTCTGTTTTTTCGAAATGAATCTTATTATTTGACAGAAATTTGTTTTAGTTTTAAGGTTCTCTTTTAGATAAGAAAATATAGAATCGAACAGATGTTTCTAACTTATTTGCTTAATTTAATTGCAGCTACTGGCGATTGAGTGCACTTTAAATATAAATAAAATATTAAACAAATCTATAAATTATTTTTTAGTTTTACCTAGACATTTATTGTATAAAACTCTAAACCAAATTTACTTTATGCCGTATGATGCAAAATTAGAGTCCTGTTCGGTTGATACACTTAAAAACATAAATTAAGTCACCATCGCCAAAGTTACTAATCGCAAAGAATGTGTGAGCAGAACAGATTTATTTCAAATCATATTTTGTAGAAGGCTGAGAACTGAAATATTAAACAGTGAGACGTGTGGGTTGGAAGAAATTCATTTAAATTTCAAGGATTTCTTTCTTGGGGAAACGCTCGGGCAAGAACTTTTTTGTTTTTGCTACGGTGCCTGATGATAACTTCATTTTTACACGTTGGTTGAAAATAAGTCACAATCATAAACTTCGCTTTTCGGTTTCAAATTTGAATTCAGTGTTATATACTAAACTTAGAAGGTAACGATAAATACCCTATTAAATATTTCAATAATAAAGACCCTTGCTTTAATTGCACAAAAAGATTTTTTTTTAATTTGAGGTCAAAGAAAATGTGGCAATTTTTTGTTGACCATTGGCAAGCCAGCCAAGACTAGGTAATGCGATGTGATTTCTGTAGATTTTTTTACAAACCAACCAAAACATTTAACTGTGTTTTTATTCTGTATAATTTTCAATTCTGGTATTTTTTTATTGTTAACTGGTCATCGTTTAATCAAATGGTGGTACTAGTTTTAGTTGCAGTTCCAGAAATTTAAATAAATTATAGCAACCATATAAAGAAAACTAAGTTCAGGTTCAGTAATTTATTGAAGATGTTCTTGACCTCACATTAGAATTTTGCAAAATATTGATGAAAATATGCACTGCAAGTTAACTGCACTGCACCATAAGTTAAAATAAGACGAGAATCCAAAAATCGATATGTTCGAGAATTGTTGTTTTCTGTTTTATATTCTGGTTCACAGTATATGTATTACAAAAATATTGATTAGCTGAAGAAACAGTTTGACAACAGAACAAATAAACTTCTAACGATTTTTTCAATAAATGTTCCATATTATTGCAATTTCAAAAATATCCTAAAAGAAGTTTTTTAGGAATATTAATTTTTGTTAAATCAACTGCACTGAGAGTTTGATTCGTAGCTAATCCTTTCATCATTCAGATAGAAAGAGTTGAGATATACGGCGTGTTACACCACAGACGCCTTCTATCAATATACGGAAAAATTCGTGCAGATTTGACCCAGAAAGCGAAATTTGAATATTAGCCATTTAGATTAGGCCAAAATTTTATGATTTCCGTCCCGTTTTTGCTCATTTCTCGGAAGCAAAATAAGCAAGAACGCTCACTTTTACATCATTCCAGAGAGAACTAAATAGCCTTTTTAGAAAGTGAACGATCGGTAAGGAAAGGTTGGCATTTTTCTAAAAAAAAGTTTTGATTTCAAGAAGTTTTACATTTGCGTGTTTTTTTTTTTAGTTGCAAAATCGACTCAAACATGACACCGCTTTTTTCGAAGTTTCTTATCCCCATCTGAGCTACAGAATTCGTTTTAGCATCGTTAGATAGCGAATTGAAAATTCAATTGTCATTTCATGAGTGAGGGAATTTGAGTAGTTTTGACTCAGAAAGCGAAATTTGAATAGCGATGGATCCAGCTTTCGAGTAGTAGAAATGTAGTCTTTTGTTGTCTATGAAATTAGAAAAATTGCCGTTAGTCGACATAAATCCGGCATGGCCCCATGACCCTCCTTAATGGATCAGCCCTTGAGTACACTGTGATTAACCACTGATAATTAAATTACTGTGATAAGTGTGATATAGCTAGTGGGTACATGCTAGACACTTAGTCACGGTCTTCTCACCAAATTTCAAGCAGAAAGAATTTTGCATCAAAACGTTGCTTTGTTCGAATTGATTTAGACTTTTCAGTATAACATCAGTCATAAATACAAACGAAAACAATAGAAAACAGTAAATACAAATTTAAGTACATGTTATTCTAATGTGTTAGTAGTGTTTACTATATTTCGTAATAATACATAAGATAACAGATAAACCTGGCGGTGTTTATTTTTCTTGTGTATATTATTTATAAGTTTTTTTTCGTGTGTAAACATAGGTACCCCCTAACATTGATTAAATCATAATCATAAATAATTATTTCTCCAGAAGCTGTAGAACATGTGCAAATTGCCATAATTTCGTGACTTCAATTACATTGAATATTTGATTGGAAAGCTCATGTTGATTCATTGTGCAACAAGTTGAACTCCGGGCCTGTCCGGTCGCCAGATTTGACGCCGTGCGAATTCTATTTGAGGGGTTACATGGGGAGCAAATCATTATAAAAGTATTTATCGAAATTGTGGAGCAATCTTTATCAGATGTTATTGAAACTCACAAAAGACGAATACTAGAGGGGAAATGTAAAGTGATCTTAGTATCATCTTAGCGCATAATTTATTGTATTCTTTGACAAAAGCTCACTTTTGCATCGTCATTAAAATGCCAGGAAATCAACCAATATTTTTCGGCAAAGGACAAAGTCTCCATATTTAGTTTTGATTGATAACGCGTCTATGTGCCAATCCTAT